TCACCCTGTTTCATTTGATGAAGAAAAACGCGCTTTTCCTTAGGCCTACTCTTTGTGCTTTTCCCAGAAAGTAATTATGCAAAACCCAGGCCTAACTAAAAAATTCAAATTGTCATAGTATGTAACTCAAGTTAAAATAACACTTTTCATTACTCGTGCAGTTTAATCAAATATTATATGTCATTTTAAACGACCCATTGGTATTAACATGGTAACATCAATGTATTTTTAAGAATTAGACAGCGACGTTCTATCAGAAGTTTTGTAGACGTTTGTTGATGACCTTTTGACCTGAATCTACAATTAGATTTTCGGGTCGATTCAGCCGAGACTGCCCGAGTGGAGTTTCATGTAAATGTTTCGTACGGGAAAAAAATCGCCGCCGGGGATGGAGGAGTTGGAGCCGTTGAGGACGCCCTTTAGCCTTTCTCTTAAAAATTGCATCACGCGCTGAGGCCGGGATTCGACTTGGGACCGTAAGAAAAATGTTTGTATTTTTAAGTAGTTATTCATTAAACAACAAGGAAGTGGAGTTTGAGACACATTGTCAATACTTGAACATATTTTTAGAGTTAAAATCTTTCTTTCAGGAGTCTTTTACGTAGACTTGAACTGTTTCTGTTGATCCCCTTGCTTTCCTTCCCTGACTGGCCGTCCATGCGTGCATATTTCTTGTTGAAGTATCGTGTGTAACATTACAACCGCCACCGGTATCTAGCTAGGCCATTGCATTAGAACTAGGCCTAGGCTAAGCATGGCCTATGTAAGGACAGTATGTGCCCGCCGTATTTTATACGCCGCCCCAGGCATGTATTGGCCAAGGCCAACTAAAACTCCTATACTACTGTTAAAAAAGTTCAGTCTAGTTCGTAGCCTAGGCCTAGCTAGTAGTAGTAGGGAATATATAATATAGTAGTACAGTATAGGCTAGGCCTAGTTATATTATTATTAATACAAAGTGGCTGCATCTACACCGATCTTATCTTACGTCCTGCTGTAATGCATTACGATATGCAGAGTTATGTTTTAAGTTAGGGTAGCCAAGTTGACTAATCAGCATGTTGGGATTTGCACAATATTATTATTAATAACGTACATAGAGATGCGGTACCAGATCTCTACTTCAATTTGCTAAAGGTATGGTAAGTGGCATTACTTCACCATCACCCAATAAAGAGCCAGAATGATTCGAATGTGCGTGACGTCATCTTTCAAGACTGACATTGCAGATCACCCATTTGGCGGCGGCCCTGCTGACAGGTCGATCTGGGTGGCATATCTCGGTCATTAACTTATTCCTCCATGGTAAAGTTTTCAACCCCAAAAATCTCATCCCAAGTTTTAGTCCAAGAAGCCTAGGTTATATATATATTCGAAATTACCACGCTTTACAATCCGAACAACATATTCATACACTTTGAATGCACGTGCAAACCCGATACCTCCTTGATTTACCCAACTTTACGTAGATTTCGTCGCTGTTATGTTACTATCCCCAATCGTTAACATTGTTCGTTCGGCCAGAATCCAGATCGAGAGAATGAGGTTTCCACAATCATGATTACAGTGTCAAATTTGTCGAATATATTTTGATGCAGGCACATTTAAACAATAAAGTGCTAGTAATCTTATAAGAATCCTCTTATTTACAGTTTACAGTATATTCAGTTTTTTAGTGCATGTGTCGGGAACTAGTCAATTCGAGTGGATGCCACTTTGAGCGAAGTCCAATTCGAGCGAACTCGAGCGGAATTTTTTGAGCGGATGCTAGTTTGAGCGGAAGAAGATCCACTTGTGCGAACAACAACCTGTGCGAGTTATATACAAATTACTTCAAAATTTCCTATTTTTGAGCTAAAAATTTGACATTTTAAAAGGGGAAGGGGGGGGGCACACAACAGTTCCAGAATAGATAAGTGAGTAGCATAACTCAATTACAAATATAATTTGAGCTAAAAATTTGACATTTTCAAAGGGGAAGGGGGCACACAACAATTCCAGAATAGATAAGTGAGTAGAATAAATCAATTACAAATATAATTTGCTTTTTTAAATAGACAACCCCAACCAGTGGCGGATCTGGGGAAGGGGGGGGGTGGTGAATAGGGTGGCTAGCTACCCCACTTTATTTACCGTGAAAAAAATAATGGTCACTCGTCTTGTGTGTGTGCTTCTCGTGCACTCTAGTAAAACATACACTTTCTTCTTTTTTAAGCTGAAAAGTGCGCAATTCTATTATAGTTTTAACTTGTTAGTGGCCATCTTGGTAGTTGGAGTTGCCAAGACTGTAATTCAAACCTGGAGTAATTATCAAAAAGTACTAAAAACCTTTCAGGACCTTAGTAATCAGAGCATTTTTTTTGCATTTAAAACAAACAAATACAAGAATACGGCGACGATAAATTCGCCCTTGTTATAGTTCGCACTAAATGCATCCGCTCGAACTGGCATCCGCTCGAATTGACTGGCATCCGTGCTGTCATGTAAATAGATTAGACCAGATTAAGCGTGAGACAGACCTCGAATGCGCGAGTCTTACACTGAATGTGTGAGCCTTGATGTGTATGTAGATAAATGACATGACTCTCTTATTACTGAGTGGAACCCTTACGCCTATATATCATGTATATTTTAAGAAAATACTGTACTATTCCGTAGCTGATTATTTGCTAAGTACATTATTCGCTAGTCACACCGCTCACCTCGCACTCTGGGCGATCTGCAATGCCGGTCTTGAAAGATGACGTCGTGCACATTCTGACTATTCAGGGGTGGCTCCTGGGTTGTGGCCGGGGACAGGTGAGAAGGGCTTCTCCTCCCTGTTGGGGTGAATTTAACTCACTTCGTCGGGGAGAAAATAGTTATATTTTTTTTAAGTGTTTAAAGTAGACTAAAAAATGGTTGAAAAAAGCCTCTGCAAACCTTAAGTTGTCATATTCCCGGGGCTACGCCCCCTGGATCACTTCCAAGAGATTTTAAGCGACGACCAACAATGCCCACTTACCGGTACGTTCTCGTCGGGAAGTTCCCCACTCTCTATTGGAACTTTGTCAATAGTAAGTTGATTCCAGTAAATGGCCCATCATTTTAAAGTTTACAATGTGGAGAATATACTGTATTAAAAAGTCAATTTCAATTTTTTGGTCACTGATGCTAGATTTGGAATGGCAAACCTCATGACTTGTGCATTGACAGGGCGATTTTTGCTCAAACAAAAGAGATTTAAGATTAGTGAAGTGCTGTATTGTTTCTCCTGCTTTTAATTCTTGGCTAATAAACAGTTTTTTTTTATGCAGGAAGATGATGTGGATAGAATCTTGACAGTCCTTTTGATTCAGCTTTAATCAAATCATATTTAAGTTGGCTTAATTGAAAATAACTATTCGCCAAGAAGACATTCATGATGGTTTTTAGACGTTTCAACCGCTGGCTTCTGCCAAACAAGCTGGGGCAGGTAAGATTTTTATTTATTCTATATTTAAAAAAAAAATTCCTTTTGAGCAATACACACATTAAGAAGAAATAAAATTAGGAAACTTGGGAGACAAAAGCCGTTTAAAACTACCATCGTCAAAGGGCGTTTCCTTTCAATTTACAATATTAAATAACCTGTAATCGCACACACTAAAAATATTAGTTATATTATCAATGTAAAAAAAATATGAAAACTTAATACCCTACAGTAATTCACAAACCTTTACCAAACACCACCTTATCCAAATTTAGTTACATGGCACATTATGACCTTAAGTACTCCATTAAAATCGCTTTTTATTAAATGTCTGGGTATTTTTTTTTTTTTATGTACATGTATGATTATTCTATTCTTGATTGACATGATATTGATAATAGCTCAATTTGTTTTCCTTTTGTTCAGCAGGCCCCGGCATTTGTGTCGGCGTTCAGAATACCACGTAGTGCCACAACTGTCATTGTCCTCGGCCTAGCAATCTCAATCTTCAGCTCGCATAGATTATCCACAACATGTAAATGCAAATTATTGAAGTCAGAATAGACAATGAGTAAGATTATACAAATCTGTTGTGGTGTTCAAGCCACGCTGGTATGTTAATTATACAGCAAAAGCCCAGAATGAAGATGCAATAACTTGAACAAGATGATATGATTTTCAACAAGGTACTAAACGATGAGATTCCATCAGGATTGTGTCTGGATGTACCTAGGTGTTTCGTTTTTGGATTGTTACAATTTCAGTTTGGAAGTATTAGATGATTGAATCACTACAGACATTTCAGTAATAATGAGACCCAGCAGCTTATGTTATGTGTTGTTTTTTTCCTGTTTTTGTTTGAAATTGTAAGTTTGATATCATCAGCTCACTGCACTGCCTTGGTAAAGTTCAGAATTTTTTTATTTTTTTTTTTTATACTGTATATATATTACATTTACTAACAAGTAAAACCTTGAGATTTTGATCCCATGCAGTATTTTGATCTGTAATTCGTGACTCGCTTCTGCTGAAAGGAAATTCGGAAAAAACCAATCAGTTTTGATACTTGAACCTTAACTCATACTTTAAATTTAAATACAAAATATTAAATTTTATTGTGGCATTAAATTAAAAAACAAAAATACTGCTGCAGTATTTAGACGAGAGCTGCAATCACATCAGATCTGAACCAATATTCAGACTGCGTGTTTGATGCGCTTAATGCCAGCGCCCCTATTTTTACATACTGATTGGCTTGGCTTGATAAACTCTTCGATCCGAAAAATTCGGATTTGGTGTGAATGCCCATTTAAGTATAGCACAGGTGGGCAAAGTGTGGGCCGCTTGCAGCCTACCAGTGATTTTTTTTTTGCGGCCCGCGAAAATGAATTAAAAACTCTATGTGTGCGGCCCGCCAAGCAACATTGGCTAGAAAACACCTTGTTTTTATTGCCCGACACCGATCATATATAAAAAGTAAAATTAAAACTGAGAATAAATTGGTGTAAAAGCAGTTCTGGGTTTTTTGAAAGTACACTGGAAACAACAAAGTTTGGGTGCGGCCCTCGGAGTTAAATCAAAAATTCACTTTCGCCCTCCGACCAATTTTTATGCCCACCCTTGAAGTATAGTAACTTTGACTAGAAGTCCTCCCATTAAATCACCACGGGCAAATTTTTGAAAGGATGATCTTTGTTAATTTTAATAGTGCTGCCATCTATTCAAGTGTTTTCTGAAATCAAACAATAATGGCCAAAAAAAACCCCAATATTTCTCAGATGATACATGGAGCTTGTGTGTTCAGTTCAGTATATTTTATTGTGATTTGTAAAAAATATTTTTTTACATAGAAATACAATTGCAAGGGTCCACTCATAAATAAACAACAGAAATAATAAGTAAAAATGTAACAAACCAGTTTGATGCAGTGCCCCCGAACTTCACCCCTGTGTTCTAGAATTTGTGGCGTATCAAACTTATTTAAATAAGCACACAACAATGGAGCTATTGTGTTTATTTAAACTAGTTTGATGCTCCCCTAACCCCACCCTCTATTCTTTAATTAATTAATGAACTTGGTTATGTAACTGCTTACTATCAGTGTACTCTCTATTAAGATTAGGAACCTCAATAGACTTAATTTTACTGTCAGTCAGTTTATTGTCTTGTAAGATTATAGCCATGAACAGGCTTGTAATTCTATCAAAATGAGGTGAAATGAATATGATGGTCTATGTACTATGGGATTCATATCTTAAATCTTTAACCTTTGTAATTTATATCTGATATTTTACTTATTTTCTGTATTCATAGAGAATATTTCAATTGCATTCAGCATATAATGCAGTGAACACAAACTAATATTTTGTCATAATCATCGTTTACTTTTATTTCATTTTTAATTGTTGTTATTTGTCAATACTGTACTGTATATGATTTTTGGTTTCTGTAAGTAATGATGTAGTGAGTTTGATTGAAAATGTTAACAAGATTAAATTACCTCTCCGAGTTTGAAGAGTTGATTGTATTGAGTAAATAAAATCTAAGATTATGAGAAAAAAAAATTGTATGTACAGTGTACTGATATTCAGTGGAGTCTTGAAATGGTGGTTGTGGGGGGGAGGGTTAGGGCACAAAGGTAATTGGGTGATTGATATTTATGTGAAGGTCATTAGCTCGCAAAATAAGGCGATTTTAACTACTGTACTTTAGCATGTTTTTTTTTTTGCTTCAAACATTTTTAATGGGGGTGGGGGTCTGTGTATGTGTTGCCAAAGGATTCATGTGTTCGGAAAAATGTCTGCAGACCTTCATAAAACCATTTAATACTAGCTCAATGTTAATAATAAAGCAGGAACTTAACTGTTAATTTGCATTTCCCAGAAGATTTTGTGAGATGTCTATATATCTTCCTGCTTTCTCTCCCACTTTTCCTGAATGAGCATTGTTTAAATCGGTTCTTAATCAGGATCGAAGAATATTCTTAAAATGCTGAGTTTGAATTGCGTCTTGGTATAATTTTTTTTTTTTTTTTTTTTTTTTCAATTTTAAGGCATGTTAATTTTGTACAAATGAACATTCTAATTATTTAAAAAATTCTATCTTATTAGCTCTTCCAGATTTTTTTGTCAACCAGCTCTCAAATAAAAATAAGTTATATAAAAAAAAAATTAAAAATTGAAGACTGAGGCGTGATACAAACTCACAACATAGCGTTGTGCACAATTTATGTGATGTGCCCTGTTAGTAGTAGTAATTAATGGCAATTATGAACCCTTGCCGAAAACCCAATGTACTAACATACGCCACTGTGTACCTTATTTAAGCATGGAGGATATTTCCTCCCAAGATTTAAGCATGTTTTAATGGTGTCAACAAAAAGCCTCGTCTGAAAGTAGTGCATACCCGAAGCATTAATAGAGGTAACCTCAGTTTAACCCGCAGACTGGTGAGCAGTCATTCTTGTCTTCTATACAATTCAATTCTATAGAAATGTCAAATGGAGAAGATATACAGTAAAAGTCTAAAGTCTTGAAATAATATACTTGAGGTGTTTTCACCACATTTTATACTGTATTCCATAAACTAAAGATAAATAAATTTTTGCCAAATTAGTCAATCACCTTATAATGTTACACAAGTTGACTATATGCCTATAAATGCGAGGCGTTAAGTCTGGTTTCCTTAAAATCGCTACATTGTTTTCATAGCATTAGTTGTACTGCGTAGCAGTTCCTGACGAAAGCTGGAAGGAGTCCCGACTCTACCGACCAATCAGCATCACTGAAAGCTGTCGCCGATTGGATGTAGCGATTACATGGAAACCAAGTTTTACTGTATAATAGCTTTACGAATAGTGGAAGGAAAAGCACCAGTACAGAAGGATTTATTTATATAAGACAAAAGCATCATGATGACGTCAGAACATTCCTTCAAATGTCACTCTGTGTTGGAAGTCGAGCAAGAAAACTGGATATATATCTTATGAACCCCACTCTCATTAATGATAGGCCTATAATTATAAAAATGTAGACTTACGTAGTGCATCATGCTAAAGGCCTCTGCTCTTCAAATTATTATTTCCCTGGTTATTGGATTAAGCCTGGCCGTAGGCCCAAGCTTTGGCTGAGGGCCGTCGGGCCCCGTTGGATCCATGGTCAAAGTGTTTAATTGATTTTAAGGATAACATACAAATGTTTCAATTTACCCAGTATTCATAATCACTTATACAAAAGCCTAATTATTTGTTGTCACTGTGGTGCAGAAAATAAATGATTTATCTGTCTAATATATTAATCATTCGTAATTGTTAATTTTAAAAATGGATGAATAGTGGCGGTGGGGGAGACAATTGATATGATGTCCCTCCCACTTTGAAGTATGTTGGGAAGACAGTTTCCCCCACCGATCAAAGCCCATGACGTTGCAGCAGCAGCTAATCAGCTCATTTGTCTAACCCTTTGTATTCCAGAATGGAGAAAAGCAATGCAGATAAAGTGCCTTTGCTCAAGTTTGATTGAATGAAACCGAGACCTCGAGGTTGGGAAATCAAACCGTTCCCGCTGCACATTAATCAGGCCTAATACTGAACTATAAAATAGATTGTCATTTGACATCTTATAAAATTGGTTGAATGTTGATATTAAATGGTGTTACGAAATCCAACAATAATGACAATGATTCTGTTAGAATACGTTATCATAACTGCGCCGTAAGGCGAGACTTTTTTTTTTTTTTTTTTTTTTTTTAATACCTAAACAGTTCTTAGTTGGTGGAAGATCAAATCAATCACTGGTTTATTGGATGTACAGGTAGTGCATCCTTAAACAAATAAAATGTAAAATATTAGAACTTTTACAGATTTACAGACAAAAAAAAAAATTCACAAAATACACATTTCTATAGCAGAAGTAACAAGCAAAAGGTATATATTTAGGAATTGCAAGTGCATCTAATTAAAAAAAAGAAACATCGAAAAAATGCACAATAAAGCAAGTTCTCGTAATCCCGAAAGCTCCGATGAGGGCAGTATAATAGTCTGTAAGTCTATTAATCTATCAGTCGAGTGTTTCTATATTTCCTAATCGGAGATAAAGAAAAATATACTTTTCAATAAACATGATTAGACTTTTCATTGTTGTAGTACTTTTGAGAAATATTTGCTATAGAACAGTATTATAGTGCGAATTGTTGTTTGTCTCTCATATGCATATCATATAATTATTCAAACGTTGTGACATGTAAAAATGACAAAATCAGGGTAAAACAAAAAATTTGAATTTGATTTTTAGATTATTGTAATCCAATTTTTGTCGCCAATTCTTTGAACGGAACTTGCAGCTGGTGTGCATTACCATATGAGAACTGGGGTCGTCTTTTACCAGGACTTGATATACTGTAACAATCCACATCAGAAGAATTAAGAAAGCGCATCAGCGGATACAAAGGTGGGGGGGGGGGGCGGGGAGGGCCATTAAATTTTGAAAAAATATTCAGTACAAAAAAATCAACAGTAGGTCTAAACAATTTGAAAGAAATTTTGAGTAAGAGAGCCATCTGGGCATCTAGAGCTGAGGTGCCATGCCAAACTCTCAACCATCGAGCTGCATCTGATCCAAAATCAGGCTTTTAAAATAATTTAAAACTTAATTTTCATCAGTCGCACATTTTACAATTGAAGGTGCGGACAAAACAATTAATTGCTTGATTAAAAACTCGATACCTTCAGTCTTCAGTACAACTTCCATTTTAGAAGTGAACAATGCGATGAATTTCATGATAGATAAGCGAACAAAAAATATAAAGAAACGCATGAATAAAAATGAGTAGGCCTACTCGATTCTTTTGGTTATCACACTTTCTAGAAAAGTTCTTAATTATAAAACTCGTTTTCATGATGCTTATACAAATAATTATTATAATTTTTTTAATGACAAAAATAATAACAAATAGCAGGAGAAGAACAACAACAAAAAAATAAAATCGACCTGATCGATTTCGTGTCACATGGATACAGTTGCACCTCCTCCATCCATGGTGCCAGCACAAAACCATCAAGGTATGTAAAGTATGCCAAAACAAACTTCGGTCATGTTCGATCTCCCTGTTTGGAGTCTATTATTTCATTTCGGGTAGCTAGGGGGTACAAATGTATGAGGCGCCAAGTGTAAATTTATTATTTAACACAATTATTTATATATAATTCATTATTTAATATATAATTGACTAGATCTATATATATAGTGCATTTACGTCTAAAAGATTATATGTAAATAATGGCGTTAACGTTTCATTATTTATATATAATTAGTTTACTGATTACATTATATATAAAAATGATGAAAGGCTAACCAAACATTATATATAATAAGGTTACTGGCTTCATTATATATAAATAAGGAAGGGGAAACACATCATTATATATAAAATAATGAAAAATAACTTACAATTATTTATATATAATAAGTTCACTGATTCCATTATATATAAATAATTTCATTATATATAAATAACGAATTGACTTCAAACTCATTATTTATAAATAACTGCTTTTACATTTCATTATATATAAATAATAGCTGTCGCAAAACCATAATGCTTGGACTTCAAACTCATTATATGTAATGCACACATGTTATCGTGTCAAGGTCATTATATCTAAATAATGGTTTTTACTTCCAATTATATATAGGCCTAAATAACCGTTGAAGTCGAGTGCCATTATATCTAAATAATAACATCGTAGGAAGCATGGTTTATAAATAATTCGTTATGCAAA